ACCCACCTAAGCTAATTTCTACTTCAAGAGGTAACCCTAATAATATATCACACTGTAGAAATACTTTCAGGAGGCCAGGCAGCTGATCACCACCTAACAGGATCAGACAAAACACTGCTGGAGCACATTTTCAGTATTACAGTAGGAAAAACAGAATACACAGACATACTGAACTCTTTCAAATTCTTCACTCCTTAATTTAAAAAGACTCTAAGTAACTTCTACCACTAGTTCACCAGCAAGAACAGACAAAGGACAAGTATGACTGGTTGCAGGGAATCCTTTTCCTACTATTTAAAACCACTGAAAGAAGTTACCAAAATAGGTACCAGGAATGGCTCTCACCCCACAAGCCATACGCAGGGCTGGCATCAGGAGATCCCAGGGGCGCAGGCAGCTGAAACACAGCTTAGGGCTTGGAATCAAACTACATGTGATTTTCAGGAAGCTTGACAACACTGAAGTGCTGCAATCATGGACCTGTCACTGCTGATCCCCAGCAATAATTAAAATATATTCATCCAGCATTATTTAAAAACACATAAGCCAATATACCAAGGGTTGAATTCTCTTTCTGAGCAAGGGATATAAGACCTTTCTTACGTCAAACACTGCTACCTGGTGACACATGGATGAATTGTGAAGGTCTAGAAAACCAATATCTGACAGCTATTAATAAAAGCCAAAAGGAAAGCTTTAACAGTGACACCATAAATAAAATTTGTCAATCTTCAATGTAACCAGCTTTTCAAACACAACCTGTGTGTTAAAAGGGCTGTTCACTTGCCTCCATGCTGTTAAGCTAGACCAGAGAGGGGTATGGAGGGGGAATTAATCGCTGTCACACACAGCTTTCAGAACAAAAGTACTCTGAAAATCACTCTCAGAAGTTTTACATTACCAACTCATGACAGCTAAGGCAGGAGAAATTTAAAGCAGAAGGAGAAGGGTAAAAACAAGGAGTTATTTCCTGAAAGAACTCCTTAATCACAGCAGCTTACTGTAGGTGGTGGCCTTCCTGGGAAAGGCATACACTGGCCCTTTTCCCTTTCACTGCTTGTCAGATATGTTTGATTTATTTTAGTTATATGGAAAGCAACTGGAGTACAGACTATCTAGAGGACAACTGGAAAACTGTACAGAGTTTTGTACTGAAGTTAACCTGCACAAGGAAGATGCTGACAACCTGAACAGCTGTATGGCAGACTGTTAATTTGGTTAGTAAATTACATGTACACTTTAGAAATGCAGATGTCAAAGAACATGCTGCAACTCTTCCTTTTTCAGAAGGCATACTAAGTACTTAAAAGCAAAACAGTTACCTCTAGATATGCTGGAGGCACAAGAAACATTTAAAGAAAGCTAAAGCTGCTGATAAAAAAATCACATTTCTCACTATTTAGCAGCCCCCTGTGTCTGTTTGAATCAGTACAATCTCTCAAGAGATTGCCTCTCAACAGAGTAACTAACTGCTTGTATGTCATCTTACTACACTCACCCACATTCTTACAAGCCCCATTACACTGCGGGTTGGAGGATGGGGTGATGGAGCAAGAATATTCCTGTATTTGAAATCCTTAACTTTCAACCAGTTTTTTTATTTCTTTTACAGTCTGACAAATGCCAAAATCCTGCTACATTACACAAACAATATGCTTAACACTGTTTTACTGTAAAACAAAATAATGCAAAGAGAAAAAATAGAAAGTCACTCCCACTTTAAATTATTTACAATCACTAATAAGCTAAAAAAACCTAACCAAATGAACAAAAAAGATTAAAACATGATTATGTCCAAAGAAGCAGTACTCTTACCTATTTATGCAACTGAAGTCAACGTGTATGCATTTTTTGACTGTGTAGCATTAAAGTCACAGGTTGAAAAATATGCAGTATTCTTCTGTTCAGTAACACTTCCGCACAATAATATTTATTTTCATAAAAAGAGAATCTTTGTCCTACAACTCTCAATCAAGCCACTTCTCATGTATACAGACTAATTTATTTCAGCCAGACTACTCTAGCAGCACTGAATTTGCAGGACTCTACTTCCTAACATCATCATATCTTACAGTTCACTACAACAATAAAATAATCTTTAGTAAACATATTCTACCACACCTACCTATAGAGAAGTTTTTCACTCCTCTCACCTATAAAAACAAGTCGTCCAATGAATCATGAAGACAAAAGTTATCCTACAACAGAAAACTTGGCACTTGCCACATTAGGGTGAAAATTTTAAATATGTGTTTCTATTTCAGAAATCTGTATTTGTCTGTATGTATTCTCTTTTGGAACAATCTACATATTATCACACTTTCATCCAAATACTGAATTAATTCATGAAAGTAGTAAAACATACATATATAAGCATGATCTATGACTTCAAAAAAATACCAAAATTAAAAGGAAAAGTAAGCTTGAACATTAACAGAGCTTGAAATAAAGCACAAACATACCTTTACAGTTTGAGTCTGTACAGAATAAGGTTTAATTTCCTAACAGAAATTCAAGAATTTAAATTCCTTTCCTGCCATCATCTAAGAATTGTATCACTTGTTAACACTGAGATTTCTTTATTTGACATCACCCATTAATAAGTGCACTTTAAGAACAAAAACTAGCATGCCACTTGTTTGCTAAGACACCACTTCCAATTTTATCTAACATACATTTTCAGAAAACCAGGTCTGCAAGTACTAAAAAGTTCAATTCTGCCTTATCTATGTGCCATGCCTTGACCCTAAGCTCTCTCACTTAAACACCTCTAGCCCTCTTTGGTGAAGACCAGCCACTAAAAACACTGTAAGTGTATGAAACCAATGCTTGTACTTTGCTATAATTGCTCTCATGGGGCTTTTGGCAATGCAATGTCATATCATGCCTCACCTGAAATTGCAGTTCCATCTCTTTACTGCTCTGAAACTACCCTGCATCCACTAACCACAACGATGAAACTTAAAAGCCACCATATTCTTTGAATATAGCAAACATTTTGCCGACAATAACTTCTGTAAACTAAAGGGCTTTAGGATACTATGGATAGATCCTTCTCTCACTCTGGGCACATACCTAATTACTACGGTTAAAGCTCAGTCTTTCATTTAATGGAAACAGAACAAAGCTCTAGCTGAAAAATTATTTCATTGCTGCACCTAATGAAAACTTGCTTCTAGGTAAAAAGATGCTACTCACTTTCTACAGAACACAACGTATGAAACTGAACCAGCTTCTTCAGCCAGAAGTTTCTACACACCAATTTTCATTTAACACTTAAGACACTTCCTCTGTGTGGGCTCCTATGCAGAGCAAAACTCAGACACACCAAACGACACATAGCCGATTTGCATTCAAAAGCAAGAATTTGGGACTCGGGCACACAACACTTCACTTTCACTGTTGTTTTCAACAAAACTGGTGGCACTAAAATTCTTGGGAAAGTATTATTTAAGAAACTGAGCTGATACAAAAGACATTTAACAACGCCGGGATTCCTTTTACCCACTGGGATTTGTCAACAGTATTTAGATTAGAGGCTAAAAGCCAGAGCACTGCCTTCTGAGCTAAAGAACCGATTCCATTCTGCATGCTGATGACTGCACACAAAGCAATTAATCTGCAGGATCTCAGCACCGATTACACTGCTGTCTTTAAATACTTGCCTTCTTTCAGATAGGCATCCCTAAAATAATTCAATATAAGAGTATCAGAACTGGAGATCTGAATAGTTAAGTTACCCTTATTTCAGGAGAGAAAGAGGAATTTGCAGTCTCAGTTCTGAAGCAGATTCCTGTATTGTGGGTCTGGTTTTAGAGCCACTTTGTCAACTGTATTAACCTCATCTGACCTTAAGCTGTTAGGCACAGGGAAGCTTCAGCTATAATGTTTCTCAAACAAGCATCAATCCTTTCAGTAACCCTTAGCACAGCCTGAGGACAGCCTGAATTAGAACTTAATGATGTTTCTGGAATCATATGCATCAATTCAGCCAAAAGACAATCCTTGATCTCTGGTTAAGGATATAAAAGGTCCTTTTGGTTATCAACAACCATTGTACTGACGCTTCACGTCAAAACTCGAGTTACAGCTATTTCCCTTAGTAGGGACAAAGCCGATGCCAGGACGTGCTGCTCAGCAGACTCACCCATCGCTTTCTTGCCGTGATGAGCAGTTTTACCATTTATAAACATCGGTGCCTATGAACGTAAGTATTCCGAATGAGGCGAGAGGTAAAACATGCGGCTGTTCTTTCTCGAGCTACTTTCAGAAAACAGCTTATAAGCCATACGTATCTCTGGCAGACCAGTTACATTCCCCTCAAAATAGGCAAATTTCACAGACAAAAAAAATATAGCACCTTATGCTCGCAGCCGCACGACTCGCGGTTCCGCTGGTTTTTCACCACACCGTCAACACTTTTCAGGCGACTCGCTCCGAGAACGACACGGAGTTTCACCGGGCAGGCGAAGGGTAGGGGGGAGCGCGGCCCCGCCAGGGCAGGAAGCGCCCTCCGCCCGCCCGTCCCGCCGCCTCACGGCGCCTCGCCGGAGTCACGAGTCGAGGAGTTTCGGGCACTTACGTAACGCCGCGGAGCCGCCACCGTTGGTGTTTCTCCTCCTTCCCGAAGACAAACTCGTTTCCGAGACCCCTCAACTCCCTCAGTGCCCTGGGACAAGCCAGCGCCCGCCAGCGCTGCTTCCTTTCCCAGGTCCTTCCCGCCCTGCCGCCTCCCTCTCTGCCGGCGGGACGCGGCGCTACCCCAGCCCCACGGCGGGACAGCGGAGCCCAGCGGAGCCCAGCGCAGCCTCCCCCCGGGGAGCTCCTTTCCCCCCTCTCCCAGGCAGCCCCCAGTTCCCAACATGGCCGCGGGAGAGCGGCCGGAGTCCCGCTGGAGAAGGGCTCCGCGAGGAAAGTTTCCCTCTCACTCCCCGACCTAAGCCGAGGCGAGCCAATCCGATCCGCGGCAGCCCAGAACGCGGCCGCACAACACTACTCACCCGGTACACCCCGCTCCGGCCGCCGCCTGCCCTGCTCGCCGCACGGCCGCGGTCATACACCCCGCGCCGGGGGACGGGCTCCGGGACACCGCCCGGCGGGGCGGGGCCGCCGCCATCTTGGGCGGGAAGGAATAGCGCCTCAGCCCCGAGCCGCCCAGAGAGCCGCCCTGAGCGGGGACGGAGAGAGGGCAGGGGGCGGTTCGGCTGATCCCGGCCCACGAGTGGCGCCTCGTGGAAGAGGGATACTCCAGGCACGAGACTTGCCTCGTGAGGTTTTTTAAAGACACAGAATATTTATATTCTTTGTGTACGATCGCGGGTTTGTGCTCCCGCCCGTGGCTCTAAGTGTGCTCGCCCAGAGGTAATTCATAATGGGTACGATTTTAACCATTTCTCTCTACACAGCACATGGAAGAGAATTAGTAACATGTTTCAGCCAGAAGAGTTGCTGTTCAGCCTGGAGAAACTGTGGCAGGTTAGCTAGAAAGGCTCCAACCAGAAGCACTGTCAACTCAAGAAGCCCCTTCCACCTCCTGTGTCAGAATTTTTTGTGTGTACATATCGAGTCATCCAGAGCAGTATTTTCCAAATCTAGCCGGCCGGTCACCTGCTCCTTTACGATTTCCAGCCGTTGATGGATGCTGTCAGAGGGAAAGGCTGGCTGGGAAGGTTGTGAAGAGCTGTGGAGCAAGGAGGGGTGAGAGGGTACAGCACCATTAACTTCTGTGGCGTTGCTTTGATGCCACAGTCTATGCTGGAAAACAGCCCAATGGGCTGCTTTGTTTTTCTTTTTTTTTTTTTTTTTTTTTTTTTTTTTTTTTTTTTTCTTTCTTTTTCTAAGAAAATTTCACTTACATGTAATATGACAGTTTCATTTTTCAAATTTCACATTATTAAGCAATAATGTGGTTGGCTTTTCTGGGTATTAAAAATAGGTAGTGGAGCTTTCCAGTAGTAATCATGAACCTGCTGAACTTTCTGATTTTCAACGGAATTTTCTATCCCAGCTCAGACACGGACACAGATAGGCAAGAGCCACATCACTGAGCTGTGTTTCTCCTGCTGTGAAAGAGAGACACGGGAAAGGGAGCGGGACATGGAGGTCTGAGCACCCTACAGCATGACAATCTGGTCTTCCACCTCTCCCTCAAATTTATCCAGTGTGTCAGCCTGAGCTGTCATGTAATTATTCTTAATGTCCTGATTTATATAAGGTGTGGGTCAAGCTGTTTAACACGAGTTTTTTGAAAACAGGTGCTTGCTTGTGGCTGTTTAAGCCACAAATCTGAGTGTGTTGAGCAGTGTGTATTTGGCAGGTGCTTCATATGTAAAGAATTCGGGCACAGCCAATATTTAAATTGGCCACAAGCGCCTTCATTTTGTGATTGCCAGTTGCAGAGAGATCTTCACACCAGAGGATCTTTTATGTATGGCTAGGCTGATTCTTGTGAACGAAAAAGATCCATTTGTGTTGTAAACTTCTGTAGATTTAACTTGTCCTCTAAATCAATTTTCTTGGCATCAGAAGCAGCTTCATGGTTAATTAAAATTTCTTTCATGCAACAAATAATTTTATAATTAGTCAAGATGCAGCAGAAAGTTGGATGGATACGGGCAAAGTGAAGCAGTTCTAGTGTTTTTGCCTGTGTGTCTGTGTTTTAATTCTCATCATGAAGCACAAAGTGACATTGTTTTCTGAAAGGTTTGCAAGGTGTAATTAACAGCAGTGAGATACTTTTTCTACGATGTAATGGAAAATCAGCCTAAGACTTTATGTCTGGTTAAGAGAACAATAAGTAACCGGTTGTCTGAGGAAAGCTAGGAACTAAAAATGACTTAATGTTATCATGTAAAGCAACATTAGCGCTATGAAAGTCTGCCATATTTTTTTTATGTTACCTTCCTGTATCATCAGAATTGTTTTTTTCGTACTGAATGGGCTATTTTTTTACTCTATTCAGCAAGAGGGGAAAATAAAACTGAAAACAGTCTGTTTGCAAATCCTCAAACACTTGTTCCTAAGTCTCTCTTAAAAAAAGTAAACATTTGACCTAATTTTTAAGTAGTGTTGAAAAACTTGGCTAAATGCCACTGATTCTTGCTTTGTATTCACTATATCGAAATGTCATACTGGTCATGTGTGCCCGTTTCAATGGGTTTTTTTGTATTTATCTACTTTGCTCTTACATGTCAACTTTGTATCTTAGTACTGAAGAAGCAATCTTGCAAAAACTGGCTGTTCAGAGAAGATGCATAGAAGGCAAAGGATGGGAGATCATGGCATGTTCTACTGGAAGAAGCTGACACTAATATATTTTACTATTTCACATGGAGTGATTATTTATTTGTAATTTTAATTTAGCTGAAAATAACGTCTTCCAAAGCATATTGTAGTCTAAAGTGATGTTTATTTTTGCTCTCTAATTACAATCTTACTGCCAATTATGTCAGAGCTGTGCTTTAAGGGTGGAGGAAATATCTTCCCCAGAAAATATGAAATAGCAGTGATATGCTGCAATACATGTCTTACACTGTGCTTCCTGAATTGCCTTATGATTTTTGAATGGACACTGTTTACATACAGCTGTTTCAGGGCTTTCATCTTCACTTTAAATCTTCACAGGGATCACATGAAGATTGAAACAAATCTTTTTGGTGTCAAGCCAATGCAAACAGTTGTTTCAGTAAGGATTTTTACTTCATCATGTCAGTGAGACATTTGCAGTATTTATGAAAGCTTCCAGTAATGGGCTGTCTACAACTCCCTTGGCTTACAGGTTTCTCTCAAGCAATTTTAAAAATTGCTGTGAATCTTTCCTTTGTGCTGACATCGAATTTCTGATGGAACCTTATTAAGGTTGCAGCTTTCTTTAACATAAAAAATGCTCCAAAATTTTCAGCAGTTGAATGGGGTTTTTATTGAATAGTAAAAAGTAATTTTAATAAAATTTCAAATTAATATTTAAAAAATTGATAGAGAGCAGCATATATGTAGGTTCAGAGATTTACTGTGAGGTGAGATTATCCTTTAAACCTGTCTTGCCTTTAAAAGTTAGAGTTGGAGATTTTTTCCTTTAGAGTTCCACATACAATGAATTACCTACTGGTATTCAGCTGTAGTTTGCTTCATGGAAGTCCACTTGTTTCTCCTGCAAACTCTGGGTTTTTTTCAGATGCTCAAGCATTAGTTTTACAATTGATAGAACTTGCAACTAGAACCTTGCAGTATTTGTTGTGCTTGGGCTAAAATAAGCATCTGTCCACTTCTTACACAGCTGACTTCTGTGTTACAAAATGAAATTATTAGAGATTTAATTGTTAACATTATATATTCTTGACCAGCAAAATTCAGTCCTGGTATAATAAAATGGGACTTTAAATGCTTTGCTTTCAGCAACTTTAAAAAGTCTTACAAACAATGAAAAGAAAATCTTTCTGTCTTTTGCTTCTTTATTGAATGAAATTCATTTTGAAGCAGCAGCATCTTGGCTTTTCTAGCTGATGGAAATGCAGAAATACATAATACCTTCCCAGCTTTAGATTAGTCCTTCTTTATCACCCAAAAAGGGAAACCAAACTCATTAATTTAAAGCTTTTAAAGGGGAAACTAAATGCTTTACTCTCAAATCTTCTTTTTCGTGAAAACAAGAATGAATATGCAGAACGGGGGATTTCTAAGTTATCCTGGTCTCAGATTCTGCACTGGAAATTTGTTTGGCTCCACTGTGTTGTAACCACCCCTGCTGATTTGTCAGAGCTTTTGGATGTGTCCTTCTGGGATGTTACTATCTTTTCTCAATGTTTTGTACATACACATTATCCTCGTTATTAATTTCATTTGCTGCCTTGTTGAATTGTGTAAGAAACATTTTGACTTTTCTCACACTTCAGCTGTTACTGCTGTCTTATCCATGAAGTGTTTTGCTGAGGAGAGCAGAGCTGTGTGTTTTAGAAATGGGTTATGATAGGTTCTTTTCCATTATGATTCTTTTCTTATGGATTTTTTTTTTTTTAATTGCAGAGATTTCCTATTCTATAGTACACCAGGGACTGGAAAGACACTGGTAGCTTGTGCACTTGCTAATGAATGTAGCCAGGGTGATGGGGGAGTAATCTTTTTTTATGAGAAATGGTGTCAAATGCCTGAGTGAATAGGTAGGTGTAGTGGTTTTAAAGCACTAGAAAACTTATTTATTTCTTGCTGTGAGATATGGATTAGGGGAAGAGCAAAACAGGCTTATAACTTAAAAGGAATAAAGAAAGTTGATTAACAAAACTACAAGAATAAGAAACCAGAATAAAACCTCCAGAAACCCTTCTTCCCCACCACCCAACCTGAATATGAATGACAGTTTTGTTTATTACTTGAGCAGGTAAGACTGAAATGTGCCACATGTTCTGTCCAAGTTGTAACTTGTTTTCTGTGGTCAAGAAGAAATTATTTTTCATGTTTTGTCAGGTTCTTCCATTGAAATGGGACTGTCAGTGTTTCCTTTTCCAGTGGGGTTTTGGGTGGCTGGGAATCTTGGGATGTACTGGGAAATTTAAATAATATTTATTATTAATTAATTATTTTAAAGTAATTATTATTATTTAAATTATTAATTGTATCATTGTTTACTAATTTATTATTTATATTACTAATGTTAATCATGCAAACAAAATTTTGCAAAGCACCACCATCCCCCTCAAAGAACCCCCAAACAAACCAGATCCAGTACTCTTGTAACCATAATGTTATTCATGTATTTTCTCTTTTAAATAGTGCTGTTTTCCTGATGTCAGTATCCCTGAGTTTTCTTTGTAGGCCTACCAGATGCGACCTTCAATTATTTTCCTGGATGAGATCAATGCCCTTGCTCCTGTAGGCACCAGTAAACAAGACCAGGTTCATAGGTGGGACATGTCTTGTATCTTGTGTAGAAGGTGCTTGGTCTTTGTGAAAAGAAGACCTATTTAACTTGATGTGACACCTTCATTTAACCTGAAAAGTAGTGATTTAGTGCTGGTGAATTTCAGATGATTTTTAAATGAGAATTGAAAACAATTCACTAAGCTTGAAATCAGCCCAAGGTCTG